CCCAGACTACACTTTTTCCGACACAATACGTACGTTGTAGTAAAAATAACATCTTAATTTTATGATGGTATGGACACACACATAATATATAAGCTAAATATCAATAAGAGAATAATATTCTGTACAGGTATAAGAGAAATATCAAGGCTTTTAACACTTACATTAGTAGAAGAGATGGCTGGGCACACAGGGATGGGGGATGGTTCCGAGACAGAGGGTAGATTAGTGGCCCTCAGGTGAATCACTTGTATCACTATCCACCACAGAGGTTAGCAGGGCCTCCCTGACAAACCCATCAAAGTCCATATCGTCACTGTCACTATCACTGGCTTGGGCTGGCTGTGGTTGTGGTGGGTTGCGGGCAAAGAACTCGGTTATGTTACGTTGACGGCTTGCATTGATGTGGTCGTGATACATCTGGATATATGGCTCCATAGATTGCAACAGATGGTTATTGGAGACTTTGTATCGGTGATTCACTGGGTCTTTGAAAAAGATGACCTTGAGTTTCTCGGCCAACTCGATGGCCTCCTTTACATCACCATGTGTTAACTTCTGTTCTTCTTGCTCTGCCGCACCACCTGCCTCCTCACTGACGTCATCATCTTCCATCAACTCGTCAGCAGTCACCTCAGGTTGCCTAATTACCTCCAGGATGTCGTCGTTGGTGGTCTCAGAGAAGCCTGCAGCTCTAACACTCTGTGCAGCCTCTCTTGCAATGTCCAATGCCACAGCAACAGACTGAGCCTCTCCAGCCACTGCTTGACTCTGCCTCCCACCTGTGATACCCTGCAACACATGCCACCAAGCGAGACGAATCGTTGCCACAGACAGCTGCCCCCAAGCCTCCACAAAGAAATCAACACCTTTCTTGACGTTGAACATCTTCCAAAACTGTTTGACTCGCACTTCATGCTCCGCCAACTCTTGTTCTGGATCCTCGTCCTCGCTCTCGGTGCCACTCAGAAGCTTCCGCAATCCATCCTTGGTGTTGGTCAAGTCGTTCAGGAGCCGAAACTTCTTTGCGGAGAAAGCAGCCTTGACGTTACATATCAACTCCTAATCCATGGGCTGGATTAACAACGTAGTGTTGGGGGGAAGGAAGACCACTTTTGCATTGGGGTGACGATCCAACAGTAGGGGCGAGTGTCCTGGTGCATTGTCAAGCAGCAACAAAATGTTGAATGGCACATTATTTAGCGAGCAGAATTTCTTCACGTCAGGAACGAAACAGTCGTCAAACCAGGAGAGGGACAGACCAGTGAACATCCACGCCTTCCTTGAGGTTAGCCAGTGGACATTTAACTTGCTCATGTCCATGTTTTAGTAGGCGTGCAGCTTGCAGGCTGTGTGGATCAAAGACAACTTGAGCTTACAGGTGCCGGAGGCATTGGTAGTGAACAGGACGGTGATGCGCTCCTTCTCCAACTTCCGGCCCCTACACTTGCTGGCAGACTTGACTACGAATGTCTTGGAAGGTAATTTCTTCCAAAAGAGCCCGGATTCATCCATGTTGAACACCTGGTCGTCGGTGTACTGTCCATCCTCCATAATTTCTCGTGAGAATGGAGGAAAATCCATCGCCACAGCACGGTCAGCACTCGCTCCTTCACCAACAATTTCAACGTTCATGACCTTGTTACGACGCTTAAACCCTTGCAACCACCCAGCGGAAGCAGTGAAGGGTTTGGGCTCTGCAATTCCCATCTTTTGCGTCACTGATACGTACAGTTCTCTTGCGTAGTCCTGCACTGCCTGCGTGTCGACCGCCACGTTCCTTCTCGCCTGACGAATCAAGTAGCTCACCAATAAATTCTCCATCTTGAGCAGCACCTTATTCTGACAATACTTGACCAACGAGGCACCTGTAGACTTTGTGATGTTCATGTGTTCTTTTATCTTGGCGGCATCCTTCTTGATGGTGCGGATCGTAGATTCGTTAACGCCATGCTGTCGCGCCAGATCAACCTGCCTCGTTCCTTTTTCTAACTCCTGAACGATTTTATATTTCACTTCATAGCTTAAGGCGTGTCGCACCTTCTTGGGCTTGGGGCGGCTTGGTCCAGGTAATTCAAGGTTTTTCTGGGGTGGTGGGGGTCCAGCAGATGCCATTGTTGTACAGATTAGCGGGCACAAGAGAGAACTGTATACACGGAGACTGAAGACAATGAGACTGGCGCACCTAAGGTCAGCGACTTATTCCCTCTGGTGGCAGGGCACGTCATGTTACATTAGACCAATCACAGCTAGCGGCGGAGGGAATGCGTGGGTGGTGAGGATGCGTGGCCCAATCACAGTCCGATATGTCATATGACGTCAGCGTTAACGTAAGAGCGACCTACTGCGCACCCTCCCCGTGTACGGTCAAGAATGTACCGCGTAAATAATAATTGGCGAGTATGGACAGCGGTGGCATGAGGGCGACCAGCGTGCAACCCGTCCGCGCCGCTTGCCGCGTAAGTGATGAAATGTACCGCGTAACTAATAATTGCCGGTCTGGCCAGGTGCCGCATAAATGACCAAACGCGTAAAGGAAATCTGCGTAAAATGAGACTATACTGTACTGTATATGGAGAACAAAATGCAGAACCACCCTTCTATCATCTTATTCTTTATTTATATACTGTATACAGTCTCTCCTCGACTTACGACTACCCGGACATACGACGGCCACGGTCGTATAAAATATTTTTCACATTACGTATTTTCGAGTCCCGGCGTTAGTGATCGCGCTGTGTACTGACAAAATTTTGGTTTGTAATTTCCTTTAAAATGGCTGGCAAACGTAAAAGTGAGAGTTCTCGTAGTGCTGAGAAGATAAAGAGACAACCATTTTAGAATTTCCATGTATTATTTTTGCCTTTTCGACTTACGACCAATTCGAATTACGACCTGGTCGTCAGGACGGAACCCCGTCGTAAGGAGAGACTGTACAGCACTAAATTAACTTGAGCTGAAATGTTGAAAGATGAAAAAGTGGAGGTTACAATCAGCTGTCTTATCGTCTGCCACTCTCTGGACATAATTATTTAATTGAAAATATGGTCTCGATTACTCTTTTAAGTGAAAACAACATTACATTACTCAAACTGATGACACCAGTCGTTACTGCCAGCTGCACCAAGTTTTCAGTCTTATATTTCATTGCTGGTTTGTACTTTACTATTTTCTTCTTCACTAAACTTACTTTCAGTACTTAGATACATGTAGTTGCTAAACAGTCGTTAATTTATAGATGAACAGGTAGGATGAAGTTTGCAGTTATGGGCATCTCAGAGCATAAACAATCTTGATGAATCCTGATGTTTGAATAACCATACTGTACTGTACTCATAAATAGTTCATCCATGATGGATACTTTGGCTTCACTGAAGGTTTGTTTTGCATATAGTCTTATCTTATTCACCATCAGCAGAAAACTTAGTTAAACATATACTGTACAGTATAGTATTTGTGGAACATACACATTTCTATTCTCAAATTGCCACTTTAAAAAAATATATATATATTCATGAAATGACTGAAGTGTTTAACTCGCATCTTGAGGCACAAAAAAACTGATCAATTTAATGGTGACTTTAGGAGACTTTCTTACACTGGTCTCCACTTTTACAATACCTGAAAAGGTTTTTTTTTAAGTTTCTACCTTTACAAAAACAACATTCTTTTTCTATACTAAGCAAATACACTGCCTTTTAATGGCAACCTCAAACTCTGATACAGACTAACCTTTTCATGCAAGAGGAATTGGATTTTTTCCCTAAATTCAAAGGACACTTACAACACTCCTGTAGCTATAATACACACACTTCCTTTCAACTAACCTGGCACTTTATTTATGAGGAAATTTGCTTCAAAGAGGCAGCCTTCTTCACCGATGGGATTTTTGTTAGTATTCTCGACAAAACCAACCTCATGTCTACCAAGATCATCCTGGATATCCAGACCAATATCTGTCAAAGACACCAAGTAAATATCAGTAAAAAAATTGCCACATTTTATGTGCAGTCAGTAAAATAAGTATTGACCACCACAAGGTTGGTGGAATAGAAAATGAGCAATAACAACCAACTGACGCCAGTAACCACAGGTATACGTTTACAGTTTTGTCAAGATGTTTTATATTGTTACACTCGACAAGGTGATCAATCCTTTTCTTAATGATAGGGATTAAAATTTAATGATTTATAAATAAAGCCACAGTAAAGGTAAGACGGAGAGGTTTCACAACATTGAATACCTTTTATAATGTTGAAAATAATGATGAACAGGAATTACAAAGGATGTAAAATTATACCCATTTAAAGTTGAAGAATAAATAATATACAGTACAAAATCATGAAATCCAGGTGACCCTTGCTTTATGTGACTTCACTTGGTGCCATTTTGCTATTATACAAAGACCCTATTTCTCCCATTCTCTCATTTAGAATGAGAAATATTCAATCATGTGACTGGATAATGCGATGCATTTGAGGCGCAGGAGGCCCTGTGGGAGTGGGTGAAACAGTGAATGAGTAGCCATGTGAGGCAGCTCCTGTGTTCCTTCATTCAGTACCATGGTGTTCATTGTTGTGTGCAACTCTACACTACTCTCATCTCATCTTAGAGTGCATGGATTTTCCATTATTGTTGACAAGTGCAATGTTGTCTAAGCCAGTTCTCAGCATTTTAGATTTTATGCTCCACTAATAATTTTGTCAAAAAACACCCGTCTGTTCTCAGTGATAAAATAAATTCCCTTTTTTTCCGAAGGTATATATTTTTCACATTTAAATAGAATAAGGCAACTCCCTTTTTCTGAATTCCTAATTAATTACTTTTGAAACCTTGAGTCCCACCTACAGTAGATAACCTTTACATCCCACTAGTTGAGAAACATTGGTTTTTAGCACCATTCTAGTGCATATCCTAAAACAACTGTCTATCCATCAAAGAAGCAAACAATTACCATTTTAACATTAGTAACTTGGTCCTGTATGTGCCCATGGGGCTAACACACCACACATGATTTATGTCAAGAAAATAATGAACTCGGTGATGCACTCAACATCGAAAAGATAACAAGATGAATATGAAACTTTCAGCTGATCAGAATGTAGACCAGAACCAAATGGAAATACAGATCTCAAATGGTTACACATCCCTGCAGATGGTAAGTACTCAAGTACAGTAGACCTTCAATATAGTACAAATTGATACTGCTGCATTGCACTTTTATATAGCATGGCACCCTAAATGACTCCCATTTTCATTCTTGCACATTGTAACCGCAGAAAAATTCAATTCAAGTAAATGAACCACAGTGTTCATTACTTGACGACAAGTGTTTACAGAGTACAGTAGCCTGTACAGGGTATTTTGTATTTTAACCAAATATTTTGTTATACCCTACAGCAGGGGTGTCAAAAGTCCGGCCCAACACACTCTTGCATGCAGCCCGCAGCCCATTTGCTGCTCCAGCCTTACCTTGAGGAGCTAAAACTAAATAGTGAGTGTATCCCTCAGCTGAATAAAATAGTCTGCTGTTTCCTAGAACAAAATACTCAATCAACATCCGCCTTTTGAACGGCAACTATCCGAGAGTAATCTTTCTCACTTTCCGACCTTGAAGTCCCTGCAAGGCACACCTGAGTTTCATGCTGATATCAACAAAAACAAAGTACTGCATCAAGATTTCCAATTTAATGAATGAGTTCCAAGAAAGATTTGCTGACTTTAAAAGACTTGAGAAGGATTTTTTAATTTTTTGGGACCCATTCTCTGTTGGTGTTAATGAGGTACCAGAAAATCTTCAGTTAAAATTAATTGAGCTTCAGTGTGATTTTGTGTTGAACAAGTTTTTGAGTGTTGATGTTGGCACATTTTATCAATATTTTGGACCAAATTATCCCAGGATTAAATGTTTTGCCTCAAAGATTATGTCAATGTTTGGAAGTACATATGTCTGTGAACAACTCTTTTCTGTGATGAACTTGAACAAGTCTCGGCTTCGGTCTCAACTTACTGATGCGCACCTTAATTCAATACTGAAGGTTGCTACAGCTCAGTCGTTAGTGCCAAACTTTGATGCACTGGTCCATAACAAGAGGCGCCAATTATCAGGAAGCAGCAGTAGCAAACAATAAGATTGATCAAGGTAAGTGAACACTTGATTTGTTTGTTTCTAAGGGTTTCGCACGAGCACAGACTAAATCCACCTTTCTTCTTTTGTCGTACTACTCACCTAAGAGGTGATTGCGAAGTGCTCATAATTATGTTACTTGGCCCGCATACTGTGTACAGTACTCATATTAAATCTGGCCCGCCTTGGCAAATGAGTTTGACACCCCTACCCTACAGTACTATGAACAAAAAAGTAAAGAAAGTAATATAGATGATGCTGCTGCATCTGATTTTATTAAGGTAAAGCATGCTATCTGAGTAAAATATGTCAGCTAAAATTCTACTTTACGAAACAATCTACTGTATTTCACGCAAGATTTGGCAACTCTACACCTGAAATTTAAATATAGAATATTCTTCAATTTAACTTTCCATAAACTATTACAGAAGAGTAAATGTAGAGAAACTGGATAATCAGGCATCTGACTCTGTGACTGTGTGTATGGTGGGGTGAATGATGAATCTACTTGTCTTCTCATGAGTGAGAATTAAGGTATACTGTATGGTTATTGCAGGAGAATGACATATGGACAACTTATAAGTACTGTAGACTACTTAAACTAATTGTGTTAGAGAATAATGAAGTAATTTTGTTTCAAGTATTTGCAGAAACTAATAATAGTGATATCCCCATTAGCTGGAACAATTGGTGCAGAGCACGTCCGAGGGTGAGAGATTTCCGGCTAACCAGACGACTTTCTCAAACGCGGAAAATTCCTTATCCCCGGAATCTTTTCTGGTTACTGGGAAAAGTTTCCGAGTGTCTAAACTAGACATCTTGCACACACAGACACTAGCCCACTTACCCAGATTGTTTCTGGGTGCTGGGGATGTTTTCCACAAGTCTAAACTACCAGAGTCCATAAATGCAGTTCAAATTAAATTAGAAACTCCATTTCTTTACTATAATAATCCAAAATAGTTTACTTAAAAGTTTGGTTAAATAAATATATTTGCAAATGTATAATCTATATGCTATGGGAGTGATTGAAACTGTGTTACAGCAAAACTGGGATTTTCCACTCCCATGGAGCTGTGGGGGATTAGTGGGTCTCGCGTAACTGACCTGACTTGACGCAATGTCAGGTGGCGGTAGGGTGGGGTATTAGTGGTCTCATATTACTGACCTATAGATGGAATGTCAGGTCACCCTTTCTTGGGTGGGGGATCAGTGGATCTCATGACCTGAAGATGTCTTGAATAAACACAAAACCTAAAGTATTTTTAGGAAGATTGTGATAAGTACAAGTATAAATGAGCAAAGTTGTATCCCTTCAACATTACAAAACATTTTAAAATATGGAGTGAGAAAGCAGAAAGGTGTGGGTGATGAGAGAGATGGAGTGGAAATGAGTGTTACCAAGTGCTGATATTTAACTCGCTATCATGCGGTAGGGGGTAGTAGTAATAGTAGTAGAGGTACTGGAGCACATTCCTATTAAATACATGCACTGGTAATATATTGTTCTCTTAAAGTAATACAGCTTTATGTAAACATGTTTTAGAACATCCCCAACATAAAATGGGAGCACCTCTCAGATGATGAAACCTGCAGGGATCAGTTTGCTTATAATAGAAGCAAAGCAAACAAATTAAAACTTTAATGTTTACAACCTATCAGTCAAATAAGCTTATACTGTAATATGAGGACAAACTTACAGTGGTTCCTCATTATATGAGTTCGGCATGTGCAAATTTGGTTATAAGCAAGGACCCCCTTGCTATTAAAGATTCATCATATGCAAGAAAAATTTGGTTATCTGCCATTGAACACGTAAAATTAAGGTCTGCGCCATTTCCTGCCTTTGAGTATCTTGTTTCCCACAAGCCACCACTCAATTGTTGAGTGTGGTAGATTGTGGGTACAAGAGAGCTCATGCACATAAGTTACTGTACAGTACTGAGTGGATATGTGCTGCTATTGTATACTGTAATGGGTGTCTTGTGTATCTGCCATTAAAATCCATATTACTTTATTGATATGGCTTCCAAGCATCCTGTTAATTCATCTTCTAGCAATTTTCCATCTATGAAATGCAAAAGGACAGCAAGACATTAGAAATTAGATTGTCAACTTTGAAAGCTGGTGAAGGAACACCAGCACTTGGTCAACAACTCTTGTTCTTTGTCAATTGTGAGTCTGCGCTACACAAATCTGCCTGTTTGTGACACTAATCTGCCCATCAAAATGGTTAACCAACCAAAACATGAGTTAGCATGGGTTGCCACAAATTGATATGCATCAACCCCCATATGGCCTGCCACCATATCCAATCCTCTTCCACAGAGAATTAATGTAACTATTTCATAGACTTACTGTATAGTCAAATATCATAAAACAGTATCAGGTGGGCTTGTATTGAAAATAGTACATTTTTTTAATATACTATACAGGCATTAACATTTCTTAAATAACACAGTAGTACTGTATGCTTTAGGGGATAAAGTGCACTATGTGTATATTTATATTATCTCAATATCTATTAGGTTTGTTTTTAATAAAAATTTGTATTTATACAACAGATATTTCTTTTACAGATATGTGGAGAAGAATATTACAGGCATTCAGTGGCTAGCATATCTCCTTTAATGGATGAGTACTTACATCTATACTGCATTCATCTTGTTATTTTATTGTATAAAATGGTTGTTTAAATATCATGACAGTTGTAAAAATGGGTCTGAAGCAGTAGAGTACATTGTGAATGCATCCCTTTTTTATACATTGAAATACTTGTACTGTATTTGTTTGTTTTATGCGAACTTTTTAAAGAACACAGCCTTCACATATAACGAGAATCCCCTGTATATGCACTGATATGTCTTGCTATAAAATGCTGAAGATCAGAGAAATCTTACAATCACATTTAAGCCGTGGTAATGAGATCTTGATGTAAACGGGAATCCTGTCAGTTGACTCACCAGGGTTATCTACATACAACTCTGACACTCTGGAAAATAGTAAAGTTGATTAACAGAATGCCTAATAATTAAGAAATAACACATTACCACACATATCCTATTCAATCCATATGTTGCATGACCCACTTTACCACATAAACCCTCCTGAATTCAGTTCAACAGTTGTTTAAAATAGGTATTTTGGCATACGTACTAACTGTAGCGAACCCACATAAGTGTGGGTGTGAAAAATGGTCGTAAAATGATGATGATGGTTATGATGAATACTGTACAGAAGGTTGCATTCACCAATGAAAAATAAATATTCAATGGTGATCATGTGTTCCTATAAGTTACGTATGTGATTTTTCCGGTATGGTTTCACCATCAACAAGAGCATACAGTATGTTATTTATTTGAAGCTTAGCAAGGGCAGTTCCCACCTACAAGAAGATTAGGGATAATTAAAGAGTAAAATCATCATCATTAACATTTTATGGCTGCATTCCACACGTTTGTGAGTTAGCCGTGATTACCTGATAGCAGATTTCCAAGCTCATGGTCTGTTGCAACCTCTTCTGTCAGGTTCTTAATTCTGTCATTTCTTATAACCTCTCCCTATGTCACTCTTGGCCTGCCCCTAACTCCCCCCCCCCACCCCCCTCCTCCACATATAGACTAATGCACCTCTTAACCCAATTAGTCTCATCCATTCACTCCACATGCCTAAACAAAATCAGCCTATCTCTATGCAAAACTTTGCCAATACTGTACTGTACTCTCAATACTCAGCTGCCCTCTTAGCTCTGAACAGGGCTTCCTATCTTTCAGTATCATTTTACACATTCATCTCACCATTCTCATTTCAGCTTGTTCAATCCATTATGCCATCCTCTTAACTCCCCATTTTTCACTTCCATACAATATTACATTTCTCATGCCAGCTACATACACATTTCCTTTTATGCAGAGGAATGATCCTCTTACCATCAATATAGACAACAAATTCCTAAAATTCCTCTAGATTTTTTTTAATGTATGAAATTAAATATATTTCAAGAGGCAATTCCTGTGTAAACCTTAACATGGACGTACAATGCAATGAGTTATAACAACAAGTTATACTGTACTCACATTTCTCCTGAGAGAAAGTGAAGGAGCTCCGAGGTGAAGAGGATCAACATGAACGTAATGCATGTTACACTAATCACAGCCCCTGTCAGTGTGGGCTGTGTTAAATCTTTCGGTACTTTACGGTAAATGTCAAGTCTGGAAAAATAGAAACAAAAAATTTAATTAATACTACGTATACAATACTGTACTAGATCTTATGCCAGAGTACCTTGTAATAAGTATTACAATGGCTGCCAAAAAATATTGTTATTTCTGTACATTTTACTGAAAAAGCATAAAATTCTGAGAAAAAATTATGTACATAGCTAAGACATTATACACACAAGTCTAAATGGACGTTCCAAGACATCAAGAAAAGGAAGCAGCATCTACACAAGTTAGCCACCAGAAAACAAATACCTTGTACAGTAAAGCCTCGAATAACGACGTTAATGTGTCCTCCAGTATTGCAGTGTAAGGTGAATCGTCTTATCGCGAATCATTAATTACCATTAAAATAAAGCAATAATAATGAGATGTGTTCCCAAGTGTGACCTTTTCATATCTTTTGTGTGGCTTTTTACCCTCTTACCCCCCAAACAATACAATTAATGAAAAGTGCAAACTACTGTATATTCTATAAATAATGTTTCTGAATGCATCTTATACAATATAAATGAATAATAATATGGTCACACAAGAGGAGATGGGACGCCATTGTTTTCGTTTGTGTTTACAGCCGGGAGTCCGGGAAATTAGTTGTACACGAGAAAATGAAGAAAATAAGACCCTGGTTGTAGCTGTAGTAAATTTAATGTAAAAAGAAATTAATATATATGTTTTAAGTCACAATATTTAATGTTAATAAATGGAACAATCGAAGTAGCTAACCACTAATGGCAAAGAAAAAAAAAGAGATGGATTGGGAACGCCAACATATACGTGCGCATTTAAGGATACCGCGTCATTTATCTTAAGAATATGTACAAAAGATTCATTATTGTTTATTACTGAATATGTATTTGATTGAAATAATGTTTATATATGTAAAATGAACAATGCAATTCATTAATAATACATAGAATATTAAAACACACACGAGGAGACAAGACGGCATTGTTTTCGTGAGTGACGATGGTTCTACATAAGAAACTGAAGAAAATAAGATCCTGGTTGTAGCTGTAGTGAAATTAATTAAAAAAAATTGAATACCTGTATGTATGTTTTAAGTAATGCTATTTAATGTTATTAAATGGAACACTCGGAGTAGCTAACCACTAATGGTAAAGAAATAAGGCGAGATGATTGGGAACGCCAACGTATGAACAGCAAGTGCGTAAATGTGAAAACATATCATTTCTCTACATATGAATAAGAAAGCAACACTTATTTACTGTTCATATATGTTTTTTTAAATAATATTTACGAATGTAAAACAAAAATTCTACTCACCAATGGCGGTAAAGTCTAAAACATAAGGACTGCCAATGAATATTGTGTGAGTTTTTACTCAGATGACGAAGTCATCAGGTTCAACTCTGGCTGAAGCTGTAGCTTTCCATAAAGCTGTTGCTGAAACTGTTACTGAACCTGAAGTTGATGTTGAAGCTGCTTATGATGCTGAATTTGGTGTAGCTTAAGTTGATGGTTTAGGCCTTCGAATAATAAAGCTGTCGAAAGAACCTTGCACAGCTGCTTTCTTTTCTCATTATACATCTTTATGTAGAGGTCATTTGCATTTATTTAAATTTTAATGCTTTGTTCTGTTAATGGATCCACTTCAGAAAATATGTCCATATAATAACCACAGACCTCTCACCCATTTCATATTGTTTTAACACATCTAGTTTCTCAGCTAAGCTTATACACTTTCTGTTAGCTTTTGAACCAGCACTACCATCACTTGCTCTCTTGCTCATGTTGAATAGGGATGCAAAAATGCTGTAAGAAACCTGAGGAAGTTTTTCTCCCGTTCCTGTTCCAGATGCGTGAAAACAAAAGGCCCGCCAAGCTCCGACTGTTGTTTACCACTCATTAGCAAGGCAGCTTCTTTGCGCAAGGCGCTCTTCATCTTTTTTACAGTAATTTTTTTATAATACATATCGGGATTTAGTTATTATTAATATGAAAATGTAATGTAATTTTATTTTTATTATATTTTGGTCGTAAACATGAATGAAATGAGGATGTAAACTGAATTGGGTCCTATGTTATCTAGGGTTTCAAATACGAATGAAATGAGGATGTAAACTGAATTGGGTCCTATGTTATCTAGGGTTTCAAATACGAATGAAATGAGGATGTAAACTGAATTGGGTCCTATGTTATCTAGGGTTTCAAATACGAATGAAATGAGGATGTAATCTGAATTGGGTCCTAAATTATCTAGGGTTTCAAATACGAAAAGTTGTTGGTCGAACCGTTGTTATCCGAGGCTTCCCTGTATCCAGAAATCGTTACCACTTGTTGTTACTTGCACCATATGCACCCAGGATGTCACTGCTCTCATCTGACACTAAGATTTAATACAGAATGTAAGGATAAAGATAAAATACTGACCCTATTCTTAATCTTCACTGATCTTAATTCAACATAATTTATACAATTCAAAGCTTGACTAGACAAGTATACTATATTGTACCTTACAATTATTCAAGGAACCAAATTTGAAGTGAAAAACTTTTGTAAAGTAAAGTACAGTACTCCCTCTTTATCGACGGATTTTTTATCGACGGTTTCGATTATCGACGGATTATTTAGACGGCACCTCACAACAACAAGACGCAGTACCTGCCCACACCCCTCAAGAAGATGCAGACCTTGACTCATCATACTCATCTGACTGGTCAGGCTTTTAATAAGCCTCAATCATCACACTTGTATATACTGTACACTGTATTGTTTACTGTAAGGACCGATGTTCACTTCAATAAATGAAATCGTAAGTTTGCTAGTATTTTTGTCCACTTATTATATTATTATTTATACACTATTATTTAAGGTTATGTGTAAAGGAAACGCATTAATGCTTAAAGGTACATTTATTCAACATATGCTAATAATAGTTAGAAAAATTACGTAACCATCACGGTATCGACGGTTTCTTTATCGACGGCCGTCTACAGAACGTAACCCCCGTCGATAAAGAGGGAGTACTGTACAGTATCTGTAAACTGATTATTTTCTAAAGTAGATTTCCAGCTCATAAATATTTTACTGTATAATTTCCTCAACAGAATCCAAATTTCTAAAGCATTAAGTGTTACATCATTTAAGGCAATGATACCAATAATCCATAGTCTGAAAGAGTTCTTCTACATTTTGTAAGGTATAGTACAGTAATCGTCATTTCCTAATGTAATACTTGCCGGGTATGCCTTTTATGGGTACAGAAATACTGTAATGAGATTAAAAAAAATATCCTTCACATTATTTCTATTTAGAGTACCTATTGTAGAGTCTCGTTCAAGATTCTTCAAACACTGTTGGAGACAGCTGGCAACTCAAGGCCGTTTGTTTACTATAGAACGTATTAAAAATTATGAATGAATGTAAAAGGTTATCAGTGATTGGTTACCTAGTTTCCTGTTACTTAATTAATGGGTGGGCTTTGTTGTTTAGTATTATATTAAACAGTGATCCCTCGGTTAACGAGCGCCTCGGTTAACGAAATTTCGGTTAACGAAATTTCGGTTAACAAATTACCTTCCATAAGATTCTTCACTTCGGTTAACGAGCAATCCCTCGATTAACGAATTTCTTACGAGCGCCCCTCAACATGTTTTCGCTTGCTCACTAGCTGTCGTATTAGTCCGCCAATACAGTAATCGGTTCTAGGGCTTAAATTCCTTACCATTTTAGTAAATATCAAGAAGGTTCCACTATTCAATCATTTTAAAAGTTTTATATTCTTTTTTTTTGTTGTCATTTTAACAATTATTGAACATAATTGAAGTACAGGAAATAGTTTTATGCGCGCCAAACAGCCACTCAACACACCAAGCTTGGCGTCAGTTTGTTTACAAGTTCAAAGGAAGGAACATCTTGTTTGAGACTCTTCAACATAAACGCTTTTTTCTGTGTTTCCAGTCAAATTATTGGTCATTTTGAAATATATTTTGCATATTGATAATATATAGCGCAGCGCATTGTTGATTTAAAGAAAATAATCTTGAATTACACCAAGTGAACAAAAATTTTATGGGTGAAATGGCAGCATGGGGTGACTTCTCTTCCACCCCAATGCCTTCTCTTCTCCCTTCTCCTCCACCCCAATTCTAATTCCCATCATCATCAACCAAGAGCCTTCTACATGCACACCTTAAAGTAGGTGTACTTTACTGCATTTATTTTTAGTGTGTGTAATTTTCGGTGAGCTGGAACCAATTACCCCAAAACCCATTGAAACAATGGTTTCGGTTAACGAATTTTTCGGTTAACGAGCAACTTTCTGAAACGAATTGTGCTCGTTAACCGAGGGACCACTGTACTACGTACTATAGTAAACAAACGGCCTTAGAGTTGCCAGGTGTCTCCAGCAGTGTTTGAAGAATCTTGAACGAGACTGTACAGTACATGTAATCTGTATACTGTATTTTATATAATAAATATACTACAGCTACAGTAATCCATTACCAACTCTAAGCTTCGCAACTCTAATATTGTGTACCTAGGTTTTATATTTTGTACACTGTTTTACCAACCTCTGTATCCTGTTTCAAGGATCCACGGCTTTCAGATTTATAGCCCAGAATGAGGGCAATATTCTATTGATCAGGTTTAGTTCACTTCATAGTACTGTACTGTACAGGCTGAACCTCTCCACTCTGGCACCCTTGGGACCTGACCAGAGCCACACCATGGGTGGTCAATATATTACCATGCTAAAAATGATGCAAGTTCATACCGTATACACACAGCCTCGGGAACATGGGCCCACTTGACACTCAACACAGCCCAGCTAGGATGCTTAAAGTGAAAAACATAACAAATGGGATTAATTGAAATAGAGACCGGGCCGACCCCCAAACTCCACTTTTTCAGACAATACCTACGTTGTAGTAAAAATAACTTCTTAATTATAAGATGGTATGCACACACAATTAATAATTAAGAGAAATATCAATAATATATGTTTTTTAACACTTACATTAGTA